ATGTTAGCCTAGGGCTAGGTCGTAGTCACATCATTGACTTAGTGTAGCTAAGGTCGAGGTTAGACCAGCTAGGATCTTGGTGTTAATAAGTCTGGGCACAGTTGACCATCTGCTATATACAAGGCTTGGGGATGGGGTTCAAAGGCATCAGAGCTAGCCCCTGACTTCAGGAAGGGAGGAGGTGAGAGCTAAGCAGGCCTGAGTAGGGCTGGAGTGTCCAGGGTTGAGTTCAGTAGCTTAGAAGAGGGAGGGTCGGTGACCAGGCTGGCGTTGTTGCTGGGGCTGTCTATGGAGTCCCTAGGCTATGGTTGGGTTGGGCCTGGCAGGGTGAGGTTCCAGACTGAATTTGCCATCTGTCTAGAGAAGTTTTGTTTCTTCTGGGGCTACCCTTGGGAACTGGACGTTTTGTTGACAAAACAGAGAGAAAGAGAATCTCATTGCAAACAAGCTCTGTTTACGCAGGGTCTTCGGAAAACACAGGGCTGCAGGTGCAGTAAGCCCAGAGCACAGGCCTTGTCTGCCCTGGCTAGAGGAGGACAGGCTTGTGCATCACACACGCACGCACGCACGCACGCATGCACGCACGCACGCACGCACGCACGCACACCCCTCTTTCTGCCCTGTACAAAGATCCACCTCCCCTAAGCTCATGCCCACTGCAGAATGCGTCTGTGTATTTCTGCTCGTTCCATGAACCAACTTCACAGTATTTCTGAGAGCCCCACGCTGGTAGACACTGGTGCCCTCCTATGCACACCTTACCCTGAGGACACCTACAGTTATTGTTCTTATTGTTACTACTATTACTATTGGTTTATTTGAGATAGGGTCTCATGTAGCCCAGGCTGGCCCAGAAACTCATTTATGTACCCGAGGATGACCCCCAAACTCCCAATCCTCATGCCTATTCTTCCATCTCTCAAGTACGGGCATCGGAGGAGTGAGCGACCACACTTGGCCTTTGTAAACTCACACAAATGAAATCAGGGTTGTAACCCCTGCTTCCATTTCACAGTTGAGGAGCTGAACTGGGCCTGGCCTAGAGACCCATGGCTGGGGCTGGCCAGAGATCAGTGAGAAGGGGTCATGCTGTCTAAGAGGTCACCCTGGTTGGCATAGTTAGTTTGAGAGGTCCTCCTGACTGTAGTCAGAGGGGCAAGTCACATGCCCCAAGTCATGAAGGGACCCCACCACACAGCTGGACTAAGATGCAGATTCCCTCTTCTGTAGTTGAGTGTTTTTGTACCAGTGGTCCTGTCAGGCCCACAGCTAGGTAAACACACACACACACACACACACACACACACACACACACACACACACACGGGGTAGAGAGAGAGGCAGGGAGAGGGAGACCCCTGGGGGGACCCCTCCCAGGCCCCTTCAGAGGTTGCTGGTCCCTGACATCATCAGGCCCAGAGCATGCCTGCCGGATGTGGATAAACCATCCCCCTTCTTCCCAAATTGTGGTTGACAGTTGCTCAGGCAACCGCCCCGCCAGATTGGGGAGATTAGCAAAGGAATGTTGCTGGGCCAGTTGGAGCTGAGGCTGGGGGAGCACTGGGGTCCTGCATTGATTCAACCCATCCTCTCTGAGAGCTCTCTACCGAGATGAGGTACCCAAAGAGGGATCTCGTCTTCGCTCACTGTCCCCAGCCTAACTTTTAGAATTGGGGAAAGAGAATGTGCGTGCGTGCGTGCGTGCGTGTGTGTGTGTGTGTGTGTGTGTGTGTGTGTGTGTGTGTTTGTGCCCATGCACATGCATGTACACACTCTCTTGACTGGAGTGTGTGCTGTTTGTATCCAGGATGAGACTTCTGGTCTCCTTTCTTGCCAATCTGACACCAGGCTCCAGACCATTTGGTAGCCTGGTCTCTAGTCCCTGCCTGACCCTGTTGCATTCTGGAAAAGACACCTGCTCGGACCATCAGAATCCAGGCATTCTCTGCTCCAACACCTCCTATAGCTCCCCAGATAAAAATAATGAGGTTCCACTCCTTACCCTGGCATCCAAGGCTTTTTAAGAACTGGCCTCAGCCTCCCGTTTCCCATCATGTCAGCCAGCCTGGGCTCCTCCCTGTGCAGGGGACAAACCCAGGTGCCGTCCTTCCTCCCTTCACGCCTGTGGGTCTAGGCTCAGCTCAGATGTAGCTTCCATGTGCCGACACCCCTTTTCTTTTCTTTATGGGCCCTTTCCCCACCTCATAACCTTGGCCCTTCTTAGCTTTTATTTCTTTACCTTTGCTCAGGTGGGAAGCCTCCCCTCCCTAGAGCAAGATAGAATTCCTTTTCCTTCCCAGCCCCGCTCCCCATGTTGGGGATCAATCCCAGGGCCTCACACATGCGAGGCAAAGCTCCTCTATCAATGAAGTCTGCCCCGTGCCCTTAATCATTCTTATGTCTCTCATAGTGGCCATCACTGGTCATCCTGCACTGCATTGTCTTGGGAGACATGCCTTGTGTCTGAAACCAGATCGGGGTCTCATTTTGTCTGTGTCTACTCTCCTTGGATAGAGACGGGAGGTTTAACTTGTGTCTTCTGCACATTGCTTCTGTGTGGCCCCTGCTCGTCTCTGAGCATCACACACTAGCCATCTGTAAGATAAGAATAACAAACGACACTACTTTCTAAATGCGAGTTCCTCGTGCACGTTGGTCATGGTGGTAACTGGCGCCCCCTTGTGGTGGTGCTGTAGCCCTAGCCGGAGGAACTAACTGGCTGTTCCTATCTTTGGGAAAGCTGGGGAGGAGGTGAGACCTGTTCTCTGAGAGATGGGAGTTGAATGGGGCCTGGTTTAGAGATCCAGGGCTGGGCTGACTAGAGATTTGTGAGACTGGTCACACCTGGCTAAGAGGTCACCCCGGATGGGGTCAGTCATCCTGACTGTGGTTCCATAGAGAGGGCAGGAGTCAGCGAACCTGGTGGCTATTTGATTGACATTTTAAAGGGAGTGTCATATGGATAAGACTGGGGCCACTCTGGCCAGGCACAGTCAACAGGCTAAGGTGTGGGCCTGGGAGGGTCAGTCACCTGGCAGAATCATGTAATTGTGGTCCGAGTAGAGACCCCAGTCTGACTGGTAGTCTGAGGTCAGTAAGCTCTGGGTGCGGTGGGAGCGCTGTCTGGTCATGTGCTTGGCTCAGGACTGATGGAAAGAAACCGCAGGGCTGGCTACCTCAGGCCTGCCAGGGCACTGGCGGAGATGCCTGGGGCAGACACTTTGCCTTTTTATAGGAATCCGAAGGGCCTGACTCCAGTCTGGGATCTAAGTCATGCTTTTTCCTACAGTGCCCCAGTGGTTGGCTGGGACCCTCAAGGACAGGAAGTAAGTGCTCCCCTCCTCCAGGAAGAACACTCACTGGCCACCATTTCTTTTTGTTCTGCATGCACGGTGGGCCTTTTTCAAGGGGGACGCTGGGGCCCTTCCAACACAGATGACATTAAAACTCACTTACCTCATGCCTCAGGGCACAGCGCTGACTGGATTTTTTCAAACAAAGCCACAGAAAAGCACCATGAGTCGTTTCCTGCACAGATTTCCCTGCACCAATCTGCTTGGTGCAGGCTCTCACACATCTCATTCTTTCTCATTCTCTGGTGGGGTTCAAGGAGATGAGAGACCCCCAAACTGACAAGCCCAGTCATGCCTGGCTCTGCCTGTGTGTGTTTGTGTGCCGACTTACAGGGCCAGTGGAAACATGCAAATGGGTGAGACACAGAGGGAGGCCAGTCATTGCCTGCCCTGTAAATGCCACTCACCTGCTGGCTTCTTGTCTGTCCTGTCCTCCTTTCTTGAGACCTAGAGGAAACTCATTCTGGCCCTCCTCATATGTCTGGGGAGTGTGGGCTTTGGATGGGCATGGATTCAAATCCGGTTTCTTTTCCTCGTACAGGAACCAATGGCATGCCTAAGCTGGTGTTTCCTGAGTGCTCACATGCGTTGATTTTTGTAAATCTTCAGCAATCCCATGTGTGGGTGGGGAAACTGAGGCTCAAAAAGAGGAAGCAACTTGCCCAAAGTTGCTAGGGATGGCAAATGGCAAAGTCAAGATACAATCCCAAGTCTGTCCCAAGTCTCCCTCGTCCACCACTGAGCTACTGTGCTGTACCATGGGCAAATACCTTTGCTTCTCAGAGCCTTGGTCACCTCATCTGTCAAATGGGTCTGACAGGCAAACAGGACAGGCCTGGCCTGATTTCCTGCCAGTTCTCTCAACACTGTTCAGTTTGCTGGGGCTGCAGATCCTATCTATGGCTGGGGAGTGGGTGCAAGGCCCAGCTCAAATCCCTTCCTGAACCAGGCGGCTTGGGTTTATTTGGTACCAACCCCAGGCACTGATGAACCAGCTGAGGTACAATGGACCTCACTACCAACTGAGGGGTTCACACGCCTCTCAGGTCCCTCCTTCACTTCCCTGTCATCCGGATTATTAATCTTGATCTCCGGTCACCGGAATTAACACAGTCACATATGTGTTCAGTCCACACAGGACCACACGTTGTCATATTCCCGGGGACAGAGATCTAAGTTGATTGACTTTGGGCAGTGGCCAAATCCCCTTGGTGTCTCTCAAGTTGTCACCTGACACAGGAGATGGCATTCTGCATTTGGTGCTTAGCATCCTGCTATGCTGGGCTCCATTTCCCAGCCAGTAAACAGGATGAATCTAGTGCTGATCTTGTAGGTTGATTTGTACAATGATAATGATGGCTGGTTTTATTAAGGAGGGTCTTGTTGGATGATCGAGCTGTTGGGCATCCTGGAATGAGGTGGGGGAATGGGCAGTGGAAAGTCTTGGTGTTGGTAAGGGACGGTGAGGGGAGGGTGTTGGGGTGGAGGGGGGGGGAACTTTGTTAGTTGGAGGGAGCCATGAGAAGGAGGGGAGAGCATGGCCTGCACGGGAGGAGGGGACAGTGAGGGGAACCTGAAGGGCTGCATTGGAGTCCTCCTGGTCAGTGGCCTTGCCTGGGCTCAGCTAATCAGGCCCTGCCCTCACAGCTGGCTGCACCTTCGAGGAGCCGAGTGACCCAGTCGTGCCCTGTGAGTACAGCCAGGCTCAGTACGATGACTTCCAGTGGGAACAAGTGCGGATCCACCCTGGCACCCGGGCCCCTGCGGACCTGCCCCATGGTGAGTCTGCTCTCCATCACCATTATTTTTCTCCTTCCAGACCTTCCCTAGTTTCCCCTCAGGGTCTTCTGCTCTTTCTGGGACTTGAAGACACTGAGGAGAAGTGAAATGGGGTCTCTGCCCTCTTTTTGGGAGCCCTGGGCCCTTCCCAACTTCAGCCTCACTCTGTCCCTACTTCCACACCAGGCATTCTGGGTAACTTGATTACTAGATTGGGTGTGAGGAGGCTAGATGTAGATTCTGGTATTGGTCTCCTAATCAGATGATAGCCTTGAGAACATTCATTCCAGAATCATATAGACAGGGGTTCAAATCCCGGTCCCATCATCCAGCCAGCTCTGAGCCTTTGTTGTCTTGACCGTGACGTGGGAGGCCAGTAGCCCATATCACAGGGCACAGAGGTGGCACCCAGCGGGTCAGTTGTATAATTGCTACTGTTGAGGCTATTGGAGGGCCTGGCAATTAGCAGCCATCCTCACTGGGTGCAGAATCAACTGAGAATTAAGAGTAAACGCGAAGCTAGGGCAGGAGGGTCAGAAGTTTGAGCTCAGCCTGGGCTCCTCGGTGAGATACTGCCCTCAAAATAAAACTGGAAGGAAAGAAAAAAGAACAGGGAATTCAAGAGGGAGCTCAGTGGTTAAGAGCACTGACTGCTCTTTCAGAGGACCCGAGTTCAATTCCCAGCACCACATGGCAGCTCACCACCAGCTCCAGTTCCAGGGGATCCAATGCCTTCTGATGACCTCTTCAGGAAATTGCACATAATGTGGTACACAGACATGTAGGCAAACACCCAGGCACATAAAATTTAAAAAAAAAATCTTTTTAGCTGGGCATGGTGGCACACTCTTTAATCCCAGCATTTGGGAGGCAGAGGCAGGTAAATCTTTTTAAAAGGAAAAAAGAGAAGGGTTAGAGGGACAGAGGCCAAATGAGCCACTTCGTTACTGATGAGGCCTGTGTGGCAGGACAGACTGTGAGGGAACCTCAGGACAGCCATCCAGACTCTCCCTCCCCTGTGTCCTGTTATAGAGGTGGCCCAGGGCCTTGGCTGTTTAGCTCACAGCATGACCAAGATGGCGTCTGCTGGCAAGAGTAGGTCAGGGAAGTGGCAGCTTAGTGGTGGGCCTTAGGTGAGAGGTCTCTCAGGGCCTGGCTGGTTGGCTGGCTGGGCTCTGGAAGCGGACTCTGCTTCTGTCATGGCCCTCCCCACCAGTCTGGTCATTGCCCGTCTGTGTCATTCTGGGCATGCTCAGTCTGTCTCTTCAGCGTCTTTGGTCCTTGTCTATGTCTGCTCTAGAGGTATCACTGTTTAGCTTGTTTGAGAGACATATATAAAGGTACCCACCCTGCAGGGGCTCTGCATGACCTCTGTGCAACCTCTGTGCACCCTAGACCCAGCTGTTCAACCCAGGTTTTAATAGGTACTCAGGTATAAGTAGGTATAAAAGTTTTAACTTAAGGGTGGCACACGCCTTTAATCCCAGCACTCAGGAGGCAGAGGCAGGCAGATCTCTGTGAGTTCGAGGCCAACTTGGTCTACAAAGCAAATTCCAGGACAGCCATAGCGGTTACACAGAGAAACCCTGTCTTTAAATCACCCCTCTCGCCCTCTCTGCCCCCCCAAAAGAGTTCTGGCTTAGATTCATGTTTTCCAGACCTGCCCACTTTGTGTCTCGCCCTTCCTTGGTGATCTAGGTCTGGGAGGAGGGGTGAGCTTGGTATACAGTCAGCCTAGGGGAAGTACAGGTGGATGGAGACAAAACAAGGCAAATTATTCCCAGAGGAGAGCAGGAGGGAGAAAAGAGAGCCATGGGGATGGAGGAGTGCATGACGGGGGTGGGGTGGGGGGGTGGAAGGGGTGGTGGCTGCTGGGAACAGAGGAAGAGGAGGCAAGAAGGGGTCACATTGGACGAGGAAGCCACCTTAGAGGAGAGGAGACTCCACAGGAGCTGGCTAAGAAGTGTCTGGCTAGGATGTGCCCCTTCTAGGGTTCCGGTGGAGATAGGGACCCGGAAGTTCATTCCCTACCCCTGCAGGACCTAGGTAGGCAGCAGCCGCCTTCACAGGGCTCCAGGCTCACGGAGATGAATGAGGTCCCTCGAGCTGAGTTCCCCAGGAGCACTCCTGAGCAGGCTCAGAATGTGCTGTCAACCAAGCCTGGGAGGAGGAGGCAGAGCTGTGCAAGGGTGGCTTTGGGTCTCTCCTTGGCAGCTGCACCCTCCTCTCGGTACCCCAAGGGAAGCCACAGCCCCCAGCCAGGTCCCGAGGTGCTCCCCACCACCTCCATAACAGGTCGAGGATCTTCAGGTTGGGCCGTGGGGTGTTTGTGTTGGAATCTGGTGAGGGCGGGAAAGGAAGTTAATCCTTCCATCAGTCTGCCCTGCATAGTCATCAAGCTTGGGCTCAGAGCCTGTCTGAGGACACAGCGAAGGCCCGAGGCATGGCAGGCTGGTAGCAAGATTGTCTCAGACTTTATGAATGATCAGAGCCAGAGGGAAGCACCCAGCCCAGGGAAGTGGCTGAGGCTTTGGAAGCGTTGACCTCAAGGGATCCGCCCTCTGCCAGGCTCCCAGGAGAAGCATGACCTAATCCTTATCTCCCAGGACAGCACCGAGCTGGGGGCACTGGTGACCCGTGGATGGTGAGGGGCCGTAGGGGCTTTGACAAGGTTGAGGTTGTATTTTCTGCTGTCTTAGCCCTCTCCTTTGGGAAGCAGACCCTGGGGAGGGAAGAGATCTACCCCGTGAGATCTACCCCAGAGCTCCGATCAGAACTCAAAACTCCGATCCCAAACCCTCGATTCCTGGTGGGTCCTTCATTTCTGTCCCTTCTCAGTGCGATCTTGGCCTCCCCTAAGGTCTCCTTGCCTCTTCCTTTTCTCTCTCCAGGTGCCTACTTGATGGTCAATGCTTCCCAGCATGCTCCAGGCCAGAGGGCTCACATCGTGTTCCAGACCCTGAGTGAGAATGACACCCACTGTGTGCAGTTCAGCTACTTCCTGTACAGCCGGGATGGGCACAGCCCAGGCACCCTGGGCGTCTATGTGCGTGTGAATGGGGGCCCCCTGGGCAGCGCTGTGTGGAACATGACTGGATCCCACGGCCGGCAGTGGCACCAGGCCGAGCTGGCTGTCAGCACCTTCTGGCCCAATGAGTATCAGGTGGGCTGGATTTTTAGTCAATAGTCAGTTTGGGTTTGGACGTAAGTGCAGGGGCAGGTCATCCTGAGGTCAGACTAGGTCGGAATGAATACCTGACCAGCATCGGGAGCCAAGCCAGGGTTCTATGTTTGGAGTTAGTCTGGGGTCAGTGTGGGTAGAGTTTCAGGGGTCATTGTTAATAGGGGGGCCGGCATTGCAGGTGAGTTGGAGCAGTAACCAACTGGAAATTCTGACCAGAAGGATTCTACTGCTTTGCGGGATTGTCTGGGTTGGAATGATCTTCTAGCCTTGACCTTGCCTTTGCTATCTCTGCCCACACCCCTGCACCAGCTGGCTTGGTGGTGAGGGTCTGTGTGAGCCGGGTTGGCATCTGTTGAGGGAGAGGAGGGTGGGGTTGGGGCCCAGGCTGGGCTGGAGGTCCGTCACTCTGACAGTTGGCTTCCCACTTCCCCCAGGTGCTGTTTGAGGCCCTCATCTCCCCAGACCACAAGGGCTACATAGGCTTAGATGACATCTTGCTCTTCAGCTACCCCTGTGGTGAGTCCCAGTCCGCTCGGACACAAGGATGAGGGTAGCCTTGGCTCCTGCCTGCAGGGCATGCAGGCCCAGCTCATGCTGGGGCTCTGCCTGTTTTCCCACAGCGAAGGCCCCTCACTTCTCCCGCCTCGGAGACGTGGAGGTCAATGCGGGCCAGAATGCATCCTTCCAATGCATGGCAGCAGGCAGAGCCGCAGAGGCAGAGCGCTTCCTTCTCCAGGTGAGGGCGTCCCGGGTAGACTTGGCCCAGGAAGGTGGCAGAGGGCAGGGCATTTCTCCTAGGCTTGGTTCCCCTTTGGGGTTCCGAGTCACGCCCCAACATCTATACACTGTGTCTTGCCAGGCTGCGCTTCTGCCCTGTTTGGATTCCCCTTCACCCCAGGGTGGAGGGCAGTTCCTGGGTCCTCAAAAGCCCCCGGGTCAGTAGGGACTCACGTATGCTGCCAGGCTGGAAGGCTCTCTGACTCTCCCATCCCTCTTTCTCTTCAGCGGCAGAGTGGGGTGTTGGTGCCTGCGGCCGGGGTGCGGCATATCAGCCACCGCCGCTTCCTGGCCACTTTCCCGCTGGCCTCCGTAGGCCGAGCAGAGCAGGATCTGTACCGCTGTGTGTCTCAGGCCCCACGCGGGGCTGGTGTCTCCAACTTCGCAGAGCTCATCGTCAAAGGTCAGCGGAATGGCCTTGAAGAAGGCTGTAGCTGCAGGGGAAGGATAGGATAGGGTGAAATCCGCAGGGCTGTGCCTGAAAGTAGCTCCTTAGAGGTTGGGGGTCCCAGAACAGGTTTAGTCGAGGGTTTGGTAGCAGTTTGAGTGGCCTGGGAGGACAGGGAGGGTCTCGTGATGGGAGCAGAATGGGGTGTAGAGTTAGACTCTGGCTGTGACTTGAACTGATGGACCTGTGAAGGGAACAGCGTCACTGAGGGAGGGGCTGGTCTTGTCGGAGGAGGGCACAAGGAATGAGGCTCTGTCTAGTTGCGCTTTTCAGGTACTAACCCAGCGAGTGTGCTGGGGTCCCCCAGGTCTGGGCTTGGGAGTTCGGAGTCGAGTCAGTGTGGCTGAGCTATGGGAGTTCTGGGGCCAGGTGGTGGCATCAGTAGGCTCCTCCTCTTCTGCATGTCCTCGCAGAGCCTCCCACCCCCATCGCGCCCCCACAGCTGCTGCGTGCAGGCCCCACCTACCTCATCATCCAGCTCAACACCAACTCCATCATTGGCGACGGGCCGATCGTGCGCAAGGAGATCGAGTACCGCATGGCACGGGGCCCGTGGGCCGAGGTGCACGCGGTCAACCTGCAGACCTACAAGCTGTGGCATCTTGACCCAGACACCGAGTATGAGATCAGTGTGCTGCTCACGCGCCCGGGGGACGGAGGCACGGGTCGCCCGGGACCACCGCTGCTCAGCCGGACCAAGTGTGCAGGTGGGTTGTTCCCCATTCCATGGAGGCAGCAAAGACTCCTGATACACACGCATTTGTCAGGGACTCTGGAGGCTAGTCTTTCAGCCTGGAGGCAACTTCTCCATCGCTTGTTTCCAAACGCGAAATAAAACCAACAAAGGAGACAAAGAAAAACCGAAACGAAACCAAAACAAAAAGGCAAACCAAGGAAACAAATCAGAAAGCTTAGCAGAACACGACAGAGGTGTTGTTGTCATACCCATTTCACATATGAGGTGACTGAGGCAGAGATGTTAGGTGACGGGGTAAAGAACACACAGCTAGTTAGTGTCAGAGATGGGGGCCAGAATTCCTATTCTGTCTTTTTTTTTGGTTTTTCGAGACAGGGTTTCTCTGTGTAGCTTTGCACCTTTCCTGGAACTCACTCTGTAACCCAGGCTGGCCTCAGACTCACGGAGTTCCGCCTGCCTCTGCCTCCCAAGAGCTAGGATTAAAGATGTGGGCCACCACTGCCCGGCTCTATTCTGTCTTCTTAAACACTGTCAATTAAAAATTGTGTGTGGTGGATTTGTGTCTGGATTCCCTGGGCCTGGCATTAAGCCTGGAGTCAGCTCTTCTTGTTTAGGAGGGTGAAGTAGTAGTTGCTAAAGACCCAAGATGCACCTGCAGCTGCAGCAGACTAATCAGAAGAGAGATGGATGGAGAGTGGGGTTCTCTGGGTCCTCTGTGATGTCAGGGTGCTGTTGATTTTGGAATTTTCTTAGTGACAAATGTAAATTGTCAATGTAGATCCATGTGCTCTCGTAAGAAAAGACAGGGTCCTCTATCACGTTTTTCTCAATAGTTACATTTTGTGCAGCTATGGTTTTACAATAAAGGTTGACATCTGGGGCTGGCATATGATGGTTCAGTAGGTAAAGGTGCTTGCTGCCAAGCCTGGTGATCTGGAGATTCACGTGATGGGAGGAGAGAACCTACTCTCATAAGATGTCCTCTGACCTCCGTAAGCGGCCGTGGTCTGCTTGTGCCCCACCCACCATGTACACCTGCAAAATAAATAAATACAATGTAACAAAAATGTTTAACAAGCCAGGCGGTGGTGGCTCAGCACGCCTTTAATCCCAGCACCTGGGAGGCAGAGCCGGGCTGATTTCTGTGAGTGCGAGGCCAGCCTGGTCTATAGAGCGAGATCCTGGACAGGCACCAAAACTACACAGAGAAACCCTGTCTCGAAACTCCCCCCCCCAAAAAAATGTTTAATAAAAAAATTGATGTCCATAGAGTCCACAGATGTCATAACAGAGCACCCCCCCCCAGTTTTCTGTGTTTGTGTGCCTATGTATGTGTGTTCAGTTCTGTGTAATTTAACACCCGTGTAGGTTTGTGTATTCAGCACTACAGTGGGAACCCTGAGCAGCCAGTATCCCTACAGATGATTCACATTGCTGTTCTATAACTGCATCCATTTCTTTCTTCCTCCATCCCCCCACTTAGTAACCAGAGATCTGTCTTTCATTTCTAGAATTTTGTAATCTCCAGAATGACATCATGTAGTATATAACCTTTTTGGAACTGCTTTTTTTGGATTTTTTTTTTCTGGTAACAGATTTATTGCAATATGATCTGCATTCATACATATACAGTTTAGAGGCTTTCAGTATCTCTGGAGTTGAACAGCTATTGATATGATTGATTTTGGAACGTGTCATCCCCCTAAGTGGGACCCTTACACCATTTCACAGTCACCCAATCCTAAAGCCCTAAGCAAACATGAATCTACTTTCCCTCTGTCTCGATTTACTCTGTAGATGTTTTATATTATAGAACCATGGATGATGGTTTGTAGTCTTCTGCGGTGGCTTCTTCATTTGGCCTTATTCCTTCTGTAGCGAGTTGTGGTTACTGCATCCCCTTTCGTTGTGTTGTGTAACTCTGTTTCTTTTGTCCACTCACCAGGGGACAGATTCCTGGGTTGTTTATGTTTTTTGACCATTAGGAACAATATTTCATACAAGTTTTAAGAATATTTATTTTATTTTCAAGTGTGTGTGTGTGTGTGTGTGTGTGTGTGTGTGGTATGTGTACTTATGTGTGAAGGAGGCCAGGAGAGGGTGTCAGTTTCCCCTTGGAGCTGGAGTTACAGGGTTGTGAATCACAGGTTGCTGGGGACGGAACCCCAGGACCCCTACAAGAGCAGCAATTGCTCTTAGCAGCTGAGCCCTCCTTCCAGCCCCTCCCTCCCGTCATGGTCTTAATTTGCATTTCCTTAATGTCTAGTGTTGTTGAACATCTTTCTACACATGACCGCCACTGCCTGTGCTCTTCACTGGATTGCCTGTTCATATCATTGCTAATTTCTTAGTAGAATTACTTTTTTTCCCCTGTTGAAATTTGAGACTTCTTTATGCATTCTAGATACTAGATGTATCTAGAACACATTATTAATGTATCAATGGATGTATAATCTGTAGGTATTTCTCCCAGTAGGGATCATTGTCTTTGTATAGATTGAGAGCCAATGTTTTAGATTTTGATGAAGTCCTATTTCTCAAATTGCCCAGTGCTTTTGGTATAAATAAAGTGCAACTTCCAAATACCCCGCAGCTGCTTCCCAAATTACCACACAGAGGCTTATATTAATTATAAATGCTCGGCCAGTAGCTCAGGCTTATTACTAACTAGTTCTTACACTTAAATTAACCCACAATTCTTATCTATGTTTAGCCATGTGATTGGTACCTTTTCTCAGAATAGTGTTCTCATCTTGCTTCCTCTGTGTCTGGCTGGCAACTCCTGATTCTGCCCTTCCTCTTCCCAGCATTCTAAATTTATTTACTTATGTGTATTTACTTATGTGTATGTGTAGGCATGTGCTTGCCACAGTGTATGTGTGGAATTTGGAGGATAGCTTATTGGGGTCTGTTCTCTCCTTCCACCATGTGGGTCCTGGGGATCAAACTCAGGTCCTCAGGTTTGACAGCAAGTGTTTTTTGTTGTTGTTGTTGTTTGTTTGTTTTGTTTTTTGTTTTTTACCTACTGAGCCATCTTGACAGTCTGCAATTCATATTCTTAAGTGTTAATAAAAGCTGATTTGTGGGCCATCTAAAATCTAGTTTAATACCAGACTTTGGGAGAGAGATACTTGGGTGGTGGGTCAGTGTCCCTATGGTGATTGCCTTCTAGCTGATGGTCTGGACTGGGTGATGTACCCACTGAGAGCTTCAGTCAGTCTTCTTGTTTTATAAGTGGAAACAATACTAATTTCTACTCTAGGGGGTAGCGTGAAGATTGAGGCAATGGATGTTTATTGAGTGTCTATTATGTGCCAGGTAATGCCACAGTTGCTAGGGATACATGGCTGCACCCCAGACAGAGGCCATCATTGTTTGAATCTTCTTAAGACTCTGCAGGGAGCTCATGTCCTGGCAGAAGGAGGCAGATGATAAATAAGTAAACAAGTGGAATATATAGTCTGTCAGATGGTGATAAGTGTGTGAGGAGGAATAAATCAGGGCGGGGGATGGGGAGGGGCGGAGGGTTGTTATTTATAAAAAGCCGAAGGACTGTCTTACTGAGATGGTGGCATTTGAGCAGAGTCATGCAGGAGGTGAGGGGGAGCTAGGTGGCGTGCTGTAGGGGAACAGCAAGGGAAGGAGCAGTCCAGTCAGGCAGACTATTGAGTGCAAAGGCCTGGAGGCAGGAGCAGGGAGGAGACCTGTGAGAGGATGTCTAAGCAGAGCTGGGAATGTCAGATTCAGAGGCGAGTGAGCCGAGGGCTGGGGGAGTGGTGGCAGGGCCTGGAGAGCAGGAGTGAGCATGGGCGACTGGTGTTCAGAAGGTCTGCTCTGGATATTTTGTGGAGAGGTGACTATAGGAGGGGACGCTGGCTAGTTTTTATCAACTGGACACAAACATGGAGGAAGAGGGGACCTCCGTGGAGGGAACGCCTATATCAGATTGTCCTGTGAGCATGACCGTGTGGCATCTTCTTGATTAATGATTGATATGGGAGGGCCCAGCTCACTGTGGGTGGCAGCCTTTAGGCAGGTGGTCTTAGGTTTTATCAGAAAGCAGACTGAGCAAGCCATGAGAGAGCACCAGCAAGCAGTCTTCCTCCATGGTCTCTGCTTCAGTTCCTGCCTTGAGCTCCCGCCCTGGCTTCCCCGAATGATGGACCATGATGTGGAAGTGTAAGCCAAATAAATGTTTTTCTTCCCCAAGCTGCTTTTGGTCTTGGCGTTTATCACAGCCAACAGAGAGCTGAACTCTGACAGAGGGCAAAGGTTCCTGAAGGAGCCCCATGGGGAGGCTCTCGAAGCTATTGCAGCCAGTGATGGTAGCCAGAAGCTGAGTGGAAGTGACCACGATGGCCGTGATGACAAGCTGCTCAGTCCGGTTGGTTCTGGAGTCAGTAGCATCTGCTGATAGATCTGCTAGGGGGGTGAGGAAGAAAGAAATAGAGAAACACCAGGATGCTCCAAGGTGTTTTGCTTGAGCAACTGGACGGATGGAGCTGTCATACTGCAAAGGAGCCCACAGCAGCAGAGTTGGGGGGGGGAGCTGACCTGGGGGGTGTCATTGATCAGGAGCTGTGCATCAGACACAATGACTTTGAGACGCCATTAAACGTGCCGGTGGCACTCACCACCAGGAAGCTGGATGGATGAGCAAAGGACTGAGGGAAGGGTGCAGGCTGCTGGTATGAATCTGAAAGTTGCCCTTACGGAGATGGTGTCGGTGGCATTTGAAGCGATGTGGCAGGATCACATCTCTCATGTTAGTGTTCTCAACAGGGGTTATTTCCTTTCCTAGGAGACATTTGCTAGTGTCTGGAGACATTGCTGCCATACTGGCTGCTGCTGGTGGGTGCTGCTGGCATTAAGAGGTAGAGGCCAGGGACAGCCAAACTCCTTGCAGTGCAGGGACAGTGTCCAGTGACAAGTAATTATCTCGTCCAAAATGTCGATAGTGTTGAGGTTGAAAACCCCGTTTAGGTTTTTGGGGAATGTAAATGAGGAGAT